TATTTCTTGAACAACATTTTTCAGTCGATTTCATAAGCTAATAAATTAAATGTGTTTTGTATCACCATGTGTTTCACGTGTGTTTTCAGATTTCATCACGTGTTTCTATAGTACTGAAATGAAAGACGCTTGAATTGATGGCCCGAATTCATGAAATCATTCCGATCCGTTCCTTGTAATCTGTTTATGGCTAGTATTTTCCCGAATGAGTAAGGCTTGTTCCACTCCCACGGCTCCCTACGGCGCTGCATAGTACTGGGCTCCATTGATCGTCACGTGGTATCCTTTAGCCATCTTAAGCTAGAAGGGCATACTCCGCCAAGGTCTTTTCTTTGAACGGCCGGGCTTCCATCATAGACTTACTTTATTTGGATTTTCGGATGGCGGTGTTGAACACTGTCTATCCGTTACTGCTACTCTTTAAAAGGAGTTTCAGACGGTGTAAATCATGGCCCAAAAACCATTCCGTCATGACGTAGGGTTAAGCCCTTCGTGAGGATTAGAATTCGAGATGATTAATTCTGAAGAATTTCTTGTTTTTTTTACTAATTTGTCGCAGTGTTGTGATGTTCTATAAGTACACTTAAGAGTGAAGGGCAAGCAAAAACCCATCCTCAGACGAGAGTTGAACCCCTATTTCACTCATACCGGGAGCGCGTGCTACCACTACACCACAGCGTCATTATGTATTTATCACTTTTTGCATGACTTGTCATGGTAATTTACTGTGCGGACCCCATAACCCCTTTCATTGGACTCGTTTCCTGCATTTATCCTCCAGAAAGGTCACTGAACATTTCGCATGTTGTTGAACTGCTGCTCGAATATTTAGCCGAGGAGATATTGAATGAGAATTCGAAAAAGGGCTGGAAAAGTGAACGTTTTTCTGAAATTTTTTTTTCTTTCATCAGCACCACTCTTATTAATATTGGTAGTTATTCACAAATATCTTTATTCAATGAGGTGGATGTTTTCAAAGACTCTGCTGTTGCTCCGTTTGTAGTAGGACTCGTATACATTTGCATACGGCCGACTTCCAATTTTTCAGTTCATCCGAGAGAATTGTTTGAGATAGTGCAATGAGAAAATCAATAGATATGTTTTCTTCAGGAAGCAGCAATACCTTGGGCTAAAATCGGCTGGGATTCTTCATGGTGGAAAGACATTCAGCCAGTAAGCGTTGCATGTAACTGGCTGGATTGCGTCCTCATCAACATGTGGGCCTTATTTGAAATTATTGAATTTATGTGTTAGAATAAAGTCGATATTTAATTATACGAATTAATACACCTGATAGTTAACCTTTGTCACTATGCTGACGAGATTACTAGAGTTTAGCTGAGAGTTTGTGAGATTCTCAGAGGTTTTTGATGACGCTCTATTGATGCTTCTAATGCACAGTGTTCAGGCTTGTCTGAAGAAAAAAAAGCCACATGTGTCACTTGTAGAGCAGTTATAATGTAGTGATTAGAGGTGCTGTACAATACAATTACTGTCGCTAGTTCGATCCCGCTCTGTGTCAACCAATCATCCCACCGTTTTTTTTTCTGTGCGTAGCAGACTTTAATGTGAGGTCACGATGGAGTCGGATGTGTGACGCATTTTAAGAGGTGAATCAACGCCAAATGTTCGATCATCTTACCACCTTTACCCTCGTTGATCATTGCGGGAAGTGAACGGACGTAGGCAATGTTTACACTTGCTCCTGTCACAAATTGTGATTGATAAAGCATTTTGCTCGGATGAAGTTAAATTTCGTTTTCCATCGTCTCCATGGTGAAAGCGTTGAACATCATCTCCGCCCTAAGTGCTGCTGCTATTCATTGGATATCGCTTTGTTTTCCAGTCCATCATGATCACCTTCTTTATTGGTCTAAAGTTACATCTATTAGCGTAGGATTTTCAGAATTGTGCATTGTTAGATTCATGGAATACATAGAATTGAAGATAATTCGTTAATTGTCTACTTAATGACGCACTGAGTCACCATGAACATATTTACGAAACCGCTTATAATAGTGTTCATGTTTTCAACTTTATGCGAGGCTAAGAAAAACATCTACGAGTTTATGAACTTCGGCTATGACTGAGACTTTTTCAGTACATGTTTGACGACTCAGTAAGCTCTTCACATTAATTTGGCTTCCTCTTTTGATTCTAAGCTTTAATATTCAGCTGTTTATAAGTTCATCTAGATATATTACGTTCTCGAGAGAAAATAAAGCAAGTATACGCTTAGAGGTGTCACTTGCACGCTCAGTGTTTTTGAGAGAAATTCGCTCGCGGCTAAACCGAACACTCTCTGTCGCCTCTTGGGACCCATCTATCGGTAACGGATTTATTTGCCAGAATTTTAACATCGCCTTGCCAAGTGTCCTATCCTCGAGCGCGATCTTCTGGAAAGTTTAGAAAACGAAGTTCTCCATGATTCGTTCAAGCAATTTTATCCTTACTTGCTGCCTATATCTTTTCCGTGGCAGGATACGACATGAAAACAGCTACAAGAATGTTGAAGTATAGGTAAAATTTGAAACCTCAGTTGCTTTCGAAAACCTGATTACATTTTACGGGCTTCACTTTCTATTTATTACACCAACTTTACTCTGTTTTCCTCTCTGCGAGGCGTTTTGCTCTTCAGATCGATCCCGTTGACGCATGTATGCTGATTGTTCCAATAATGTTAAAACACGGCTGGGAGAAAGAAAAAGTAAGTGTCTGGTTTGGCGTAGAGGATAACACATGAGAACCGCGGAAAATGTGATTACGAGTTCAATAAATCACCTGAGGTCCCAAGTTTTGCTCATATCTCAGCGTTCTTGTGGTTATGATTATCTTTCTTAATTATATAGACCGCATGTGGCGCAGTGGTTAAAGGTGCTCTGCGACACACATAAAACTCACCAAGCCTTCCATCCTATCGGTGTCGATCAATTGGTGCCAGACTTGTGTAGGAGAATAGTAGCACTGACATTAAATATCAGCGTCGTCAGACGTCCAAGTCAAGTTAAGTCAAGACCACCGTGAGTAATTATGAAGGCCTGATATTAGATCTAATCACCCGAAGTTAAAATCAAAGTCGAATGAGTGGCACTTCCGTCAGGGATTGATTAACGCCGACAGCTTAATTCTTCTTATCCTCTTATTCAATATTCGAGTTAGAAGGATCTAGTCCTTTTATCACCTGTTGGCATCACTGCAATCCAGTTTCTGATCGAGTACTTTGAGCAGATACCAGTAACATCTCCATTTATATAGACACGTCAGAGGCTCTCCTCAGTGACGCAGCCTTTCTTGAGGGACGACGAGCAACATACTTCTAGTACAAAGCTCTTCGGTAAAACCTCAGTGACGGATATGGTCAATTTCAGTGTTGACATAGGTTTACAATTAACTGGATACTTGGATGATAATGCAGAACCAGTTTTCAATTTAGTTTACTGTACTAAGTTTCCTGTTGACAATCAAGAACGCCTCTCAGCAACGATGAGACGATTAAATATTGGCAACTCAATCATTCTTTCTCTTTCGTTCTTTTCCTGCCTTATTTAGAAGTTTAATCTCCTCCCATAGCTGCTCGTTTCTCTTTATCTTCTCTTTGACTCGAGAGTAATTAGAGGACCATATCTCGAAGAATGATTGAGAAATGAAAATTTACAATCTGAAAGCCAAATCATGACCACTGAACTTATCTTTGGGCAATAAAGGCATTTTTTAAAACAAGGTGAAACTATAACTTAGTTTAATCTCTGACATTAGCGAAAAGTTTGATAGATGTAGAACGAGCCTGTGATTTATGTCGAATCCCACGAAAAACTCGCCTATTATAATATAGATGTGTTCATTTAGCGCTCGTCGCGAAACAATGGGTGCTAGCCTCACTTCACCAATACCAAATCGACCACCAACATCGGTAATCCAAGCAGGCATCCTGACATTTTGATCGAATTAACAGTCGAAATTTAATTCATAAGAGAACATCGTTGCAGGTTTGCAACCATTTGTTTTCGCCTCCAGATGCGCCAATTTTCGTGCCAAAACGTCAATCTGTACTTATGCAGGGCTGGCAGTGGAGTAAGAGGAATATACAGAACATACAACCAGTTACTAGGAAGACCATCAATAAAGGAACAGGTGAGAACGATTGATCATGTAATAGAATTCTATACTGGTTTTCGAAGATTCAACATACAGAAATACTCGTTATCATTATAATAGTATGCAACAGTGGATCTCTACAGAGATAGCTTGATCTTTCAAATTCTTGGATATCTGTGGAAAATCATATACTCTTTTTATTGTATCTTTGTTTCTGAAGGGGGATAAGAAATTGCCTGTACGTCAAAATTTTTTAGAGATGGTTTGAATGGACTTCAGGCCAGAAGGGCAGGACCAAAAAGCTAAATACCAAGATCTATTAGGGAAAGTAGATTATCACCGAGCTTTTATACGATACCGTCATTTTCCAGATAGCATTGGTTCACGATCTACAGACAGTATGACGTCGTATCGCACGCATCGAGATCTACCGTATTCAGAAGCTAGAGTAGCACTCGACAATAATCAAAACTATAAAAGGTAAAGCAACTTACATAGGAGTGATAACCACAGATACATCAATACAAGTAGAATAAAAAACAATAGTACTTAGTAATTCTTAGTAACAGTAATGCAACAATATTCGGCACTAATCAAAATTGTAAAATAGCCACAACAACTAGAGATACAATAATAACTTATATCATACGATAGCGCTTATTCGAAAATATAGCTATTTTTGATATTCATTCAGCCATACAGCGATTTTATAAGAATGGTTCGTGAAAATGTGAAATAGATTCAGCTCAAAAGATAGTGTGAGTCCTTAAAGGTACACTCTCATTGTGATAAGATTCACGGTTCCAATTATAAGGTCGCTAAGAAGGTTCTGGGGCACTTGTAAAAATTGAGAACTATGCATGAAATCCAAACAAAACCAATACTAACTATTCTTCAGAAACGTTTGCGTCAGCTGGGACTTGAACCCACATCTCACCTCATCCGGCTGGTGGGAGGGTGTGCTGAACCGTTGCACTACCGACGCCCGTTTTCACACCACTCTTTTCTACGCTAGAACGCGCCCATCTGCCTAGTACAAAGTGTTAACGGTCGGCCGCTGACAGATTCACGCGCTGCAGCATAGAAAAGAATGGCGTGAAAACGGGCGTAGGTAGTGCAACGGTTCAGCACAAGCCCCCGGATAGGGTAAAATGTGAGTTCGAATCCCACCTGATGCAAATGTTTTTACACATCACTCTTTATCGCTGGGTACATTGTATTATCGTACCACCGCTAAAGGGGATTAAATGCAAAGAATTCTGATATTCTTTAAAATGAAGGCCATCGTTTTCTACACCTTTCTGCCATCGGTCCGCCAAGTTTTGGATCTGGTCGACTTGGAGAACATCAGGTTCAATTTCGTTTATTTCATCGACTTCACCTCGCTGTGAAAGACCTTTTCTCTAATAATTACGAAAAAAACATGAACTTTGATTGTATCGTTGGATATGGCGGAGGCTTATAACAAAATGAAAATAAAGACGAATAATATCATCTAGGCCTTCAGTGGGAAATCCCACATAAGAAACTGTGATATTCCTGTGATAAGCATGGGAGTTATCTCATGCTTATTAAAGGGCCCCAGGGCTTTTTTCCAACCGTGGTAAATTTCTCACTAGAAACAGTGAAAGAAGGAAAAAGGGAAAAGGGAGAAATGAAGAAACAAAAGAACTTATCACGAAAGCAACTACTCATAAGAGACTCTTTTGTTTCAAATGTCAAAGAAGAAGGGATGGCTAAGACTTTCTGATGGATGAAACAATGCGAGCCTACAGAAAATTTTTGCTAATTCTATGTTTCAGATATGAACCAGAAACTACCGTTATCTCGAATTTCTACAGCATTCGTGAGGAGATCAAACGTGAAATACGATTGAATAAACAAGACTTAGTCAACAATAATCTTGTCAGTCCTGAAGTAGAGCGTATTCGAACACCGCTCAGTCCTACTCATACAAGGTATCGACTTGGCAGTTCATTGGCTTTTTCGAATCTTGGAAAGCACCGAGAAGGAAATCTAGAGTTCAAGAAATCTCCTGGCACTTCGTTGCATTCGATAATTTCTTTGAAATGATGACTGAACCACATTAGTCGAGATATAAGTGTAATTTCATGTAAATCTTATCTCGGCAATATTTGAGATTTAACAGGACGTTCCCAATCATGCAACTTCACTTGAGCATTTGCCAGAACTAACTCCTATCAATCTCGGCACTGTTCAATAATTCAGTTTTTTGATTGAGCAGACACAAGGTTATTAACACTAACATTCGTTCAATACAATAGTGGCTGACGTTTTGGCTGTCTCGCCATCATCAGACCCTAGTAAGAAAAATTGGCACGCAATCTACCGAGGTAAGCATTTTTATTAGCTGAACTGAATAATTTGATGCTAGGATTTTACTTCCTTATCATTTGAGCACTCACTCACTGTCCTTTTTTGTTCTTTTTGAGCCTTCGAGATATATAATGAAGACCGGCCACAGAGTCCTTTATACATGGGTCAGGAGTGTGCCTGGCTCAGGTCTGAAAGAATATCTTCGAATGTGACGCGAGATCACGCGTGCTCACTAATCACTCCTCCTTAGTGTTTTTTTCTGAATTTTGAGACCTTATTCTGGATTCTCAAGTGTCTTGCAGGCAGATATTTAGGTTTTTCTGACAAGATATCGATTTCTGGTCAAAAATATACTTTGTTATTTCTCTGAATTCTATGCATGTCTACTATTATTTTATTTGCCTTCAGGTTTAGGTTTCTCAACTAGATGTTTTTTGTTTGAACGACCAAGGGGCTTACACGCTTCGCCAATGTATTTGCGCCCTCACGCTTCACAAGGGATTAAGTACACACTATCCAAACATACGCACTCTCGTTTTTATTGTCAGAGCATTTTATGCAGTTGTGCATTTTGTATGGAGCTCAAATATAGGTTACAAACTAGCTGCCTCTTGAAAGTAGTTGGTGATACTCCAATCACTGCTGCCGGTTTTTTAGAGCCGGCCTTTTCAAGAAACGTTTTACAGCTGCTAAGCAAGTCGAAGAAAACTGTCCAGTAGGACATTCTCAAGGCAAAGAAGCATAACGAAGATTTTTAATGGGAAGCCACTATCTTCGCACCGGATTGGAAAACAGTTTTAAAAACACTTTGGATACATTCCAAATTCCAAGAACAAACTGCGGTAGAATGAGTGTTTTGCGAACACAGGTGTCACACTGTACTGATGCCAATCAAGTCAAGGAAAACTGTCCACTAGACACACTTAAAATGCAAAAGCATAACTCAAGCTGATATTCTCCGACCTAGACCAGATTTAGTCGTAACTCATGCAGATCTGTGCGGTTGGTCTTCATCAATTAAAGGGAAGAGTTACAAAGAATAAAATGGTGAGAGTTTAGAAAAAAACTATAAGGAATTTTTGTTCCACTTTTTTCCGCTTAGGTATAAATGGCTTGAGTGAGTAGATTGTGTGTCACTTTTTCTTTTCACTTTTCATAATGGAGGTGAAATCGCCGAAATGTCAGCTAATATTGTATCGCATAAATCTTATTGTTAATTCCACATGTCAGCTCATCAAAAAAACAGTGGCTAATAATGTTGACTATTGGGATCTTTACGGGAATATCACGGAAACAATGTGTAAAGGTTTCTAATTTTTTATTCCAGAACAACGACAAAAATCCTGGTAAACGACGTTCCACATAGAAAGATTATCAACAATGAGCTGATAAAGCCCGTAGATATGAATGCCGAGAAGAAATCCGTTAAAAACACATTGGATATCAGTGTAAGCCATTAATTCCATCTTATATTGCATGAAAGTAAATAGCATGAGGGATTTCCGGAAATTAGGTATGAATTTTGTTATTACGAAGAAGATTTTATCACTCCAAGTGAGTCAATAACGTTTTGCTCAAATGGACAATATTTCCTCTTTTTTTCCGCATCGATACCTTTTCAGCCAACTCGACGGCGTACAGTGATCCAGGCGTCAACGTCGGAGTTGCTGCGGGGTCTCGGTCATTTCATCGCTCAAAACAGTCAGATCAAAGCTTTTGAACCTGCGCACTTGGTTATGTGGTTGCGAACTGTTGATCGAGCTCTGCTACTTCAGGTAGGTACTGACGCTCAAAGATATTTCTCTATTGTAGCAAATCAACTCTTTGGTACAGATTCAACTGAACAATCATAAGTCGTAAAAGGCTTGTATATCAATCACATGAGCTTTCATCGTCACTAACCTAGTTTTGCTATTCAGATCATCCGCGATTAGACAAATTAGTGAATAAATGAGTGTTCCCGCTCTCCATCTTTCTAACCCTTTTTGTTTTCACCTTTTTCTCGCGCTTTTTCGCCCTTTTTCGCATAACTGCATGCTTTGATTTTTCATTGAACGGGTATAAAGTAAAAATGAAGCGACCGAGTTTTTTTTCTCTTAAATCGTCTCGTGGGAGTTGCTTGAGGGCATTTCTCAACCCTTGCAAAAGCTGTACGAGAAGTAGAGAGGGCAATTGAATCTCGTCTCGTACTGTGTTTCTCATAGGGGCATAGGCGTAGGAGTTAATGAATGTTTGGTTGGGTGTCTTGGTGGACATGTATAAATCATATGGCACCAATAAGATAAGTAATGATTTTGTATTAGTTGTAATCGTTTTGTTTCACAACACGTTTCTTGAAAAAATCAAATTGAAAGTTTACGCACTCCTAATTCTTATGGATATTTGTAAAATTCCAGTGCCTCAATAATCTCACCCACTACCTAAAATCTGAGTAACTCTTACTCTCGATTTTCGCTTTTAATGAATATTTGATTTTTTCTCAATTTCAGCGGTGCATTCTTGGTTTTCGTGAAAACGTTGCTCTCTCATTCAGGAAATGTTAACAGTCAATGATTCTTACGTAGTAGACGCTTCAACTAGTGGTCCGAGAAGGATCAATAAAGGCTGTCATTAACCTCGAGAGCTTCATTGTCTTAGAAAGCAGATTAACCTTTCCTGGGCATCTTTTTGATGCACGCGATGTGCGCCTATCCGCACCGTCCGGATGGTCTACGAAGATTGGTGCGCGCCCCAGTACGAATCTGGTTAATTAAGGTTTTAACAAAAAGTTGTCTTCAATATGTGATAAAGTATCGGTGAGGGAAACTTTTATAAGGATAGTTTCAACAAAAGTAGCGCCCATGTGTCGAAAATTTCCTATATCTCAATGAAAAAAGCACAACGTTGCAAAACCAACTGTTAATGAATATTTTTTCCTAGTATATTCATGTTTTTATGGTCACTCGATCGCATTTTGATAGTAAACTTGGTTTTTGGAAAGAACATTCTCTTTTTGTGCTATGATCAAGAAAAAGATGACATGTTTTCGGACTATTTAGCCGCTGTTCCAACGTCACAGCTCATTTATTCATACTTATCAAATTTTGGCTTTGAGAAACACTTTGTCTTTGCGAAAAATAGAGTTTTGAAGATTTTTAGAAGCGTTTTTTAGTAGACAAACGCTCAGTTGCTCTCAAAATTCTTATTTTTCAGTACGAAATCTACATCATCAGGAATCAGTACAATTCTAACTCTTTTTCACGTTGAACTCAAGAACACATCCTCAGTTTGGGATTTTAAGGATGAACTTATATGGGGGTAGTCTTCTTAGGTAGCTGAAGTGAGCTTTGGCGGAGTTCGCATTCATCAATTTGTGGAGTGGCTCTTCGAAAGGAAAATGCATATTACCAGCTCATATTTTTGAAATGGTGTATATCTTTTGCTCAAAGTACTTAATCATCAGTCAACAACTTCAACAATCAGCATCGATTAGCAACAATTTCTTTTAGCTACAAAGTGTGCGAAAATCTCTGATATTTTTCAGATATTTCAGCAGTAAAAATACTGCATAAACAAAAGAATTCTTTCAATTGAAGGAGTAATTACATTCACCAGATCAACAGTTATAACAGTAAACAAAAAAGCTTACAACAATTTACCAAAAATCCCCTTGCCTCTATACATTTATGAAGTCGCTTGGGAAAATTTCCAGCGATGCTCGCACATGTACAGCCCGATTCAGTGTTTCGTCCTTACAGACTCGTCAGTCGGACAGAACCCGTCGTCTTTCGACATTTTTATAATCAGTTCTCTCGGGAGCTCTGCTCCCAGACCACATGACAAGTTGGCTCAAATAATAATG